GGGGCAGGCCAAGCTCTCCTCTGGCTGGAGGTGAGAGAGCACACTCCAGGGGAGGCCACCTGACCCAGGCTCCAGCCCTGCTCGGATAGGCGAAGGCGCACCTGAGCCAGCGGGCCGGTGTCCCCAGCGTAGCGTGCAGGATTTGCACGGGAACCAGAGGCAGACGGCCACCGGGGCGGCCAGCCCCACGTCCTGGGTGCTGAGTGAGCCTCCCGTTGGTGGCCTGGTGTGCCCTGAATGCCCAGCGGATGTGCCGCTGTGCCCTCTGTCCAGACGTGCATGTATCTGCACCCCAGGCATCAGGCGCGACCTCAGGACTCAGCAGGAAAGGCAGGGGACGCCCGCGGGTCTGCAGTACTCGGAACGAGGCCCTTCCCCTCGAAACCCGCCTCATCATACCATTGTCCTGACCATTGCCGGGTATTTACCCTTCTCAATAAACTTAGAGGCATGTTTCGAGTTCCAAGTAAACTGTCGGGTTGTTGACTGAGAATAAACAAATGAATGGGCTATTTCACAATCCTGCACCAGGGCCTCACTCCACGCAGAGCCAGGGCCGTCTCTGTGGGGTCTTCTGCGATCTCAGGCAGGCTCCCTGCCCCCTGAGACACAGCCACACACCCCCCACACGCACCCTCTCTGTGACCCCCTCAGGCCCTCAAACGTGCTCTGCATACAGCGGGTGATTAGTGTCTGTGGACCTGAGCGGCCTCCCCGCCAGGGTCTCCCTTCTGGTCCTCACTCGGACCAGGCGACATGGAGAGTTGGTCACCTCAGCGAAGGTGACCTGCCCCCCTGGACTTTGAGAGGGTGTGTGTGTGTTGACGAGCAAAAGGAAAGCGAAAGGCAGGCAGCCTCGCTGCGTCACATGAGGCAGCTGGGTGTGGGAGATGCTGACCTTCTGCAACCAGGGCATGGCGCCTGGAGGAGATGGGGTGCGGGGTGCCCCGAGCCCCAGGCAGTCCTGGCCTGGTCACCCTCTGCTCTCAGGTATTTCGTCTGCCTGCTGAGGGAAGCATACCAACCGGGGCCGGCCCCGCCAGCCTCCCAGGCCTCATCAGCCTCCCCGCCCCACCAGCTCCCAACCTCTGCAGTTTCTAATACACCAGGTCTCCCCCAATCCTAACAATTATTTTACATTGACTAATTTTTAAAATCGTATTATCTACTCTAGCCTCACCTTAAGAAATACAGATCTGTAGTGATCATTAGATGTGCTATTTATATGTATGTTTTTCTAATGTGCAATGAACTGGCTACAAGACAAGCTAGGAAGTGTCATGGACTCCCTACCACCACCGGCATCCTCCCGTGGTCCCTAGATCTGTCCTCCATCTTCTGCTGTGTCCTCCAAGGGAGGCTGGAGTTTGTGCTCACTGAGGGCATGGGCTCCAAGATGGGCACTGGCTGGGGCTCCAGGCTTCTCTTCCCACTGCCCAAAGCCCTCCCCCCACCAAAATCTTCCCCCCAGGCTCTGGGCGGCCCTCCCCTCACTCACAGGCATCTGTCAGTCACTCTTCACACTCTCCTTGTGTTGGGAGAGGTCCTGCCTCTTTGTGAAATCCCCTGGTTCCAGACTTAGGATAAGGGGATAACTGAGTTGCTCCCCTTTTCATCTCCAAACTGTGCCCACCTTGGGGTGGTGTCACATCCTCCATCACAGCCCCTGTGGCACTGGATGGAAGTCAGGAGAGCATGCAACTCAGTCTCAGGGCCATGAGTTCAAGCCCCACATTGGGTGTGGAGACTATTTAAAAAAAAAAAGTTAAAAAGAAAAAGAACTGGACAAGAGATGGGGGATCTGGACTAGAGATGGAGGATC